CAGTATTGGAAGTTTAGTGGAAACTTTTATTTTTGAGATATCGTCGATCGAAGTTTGATGCACTTTTTTGAACTGGTAAAAAGCCACAGTTTCGAATTAGCCCAAGTTTTAGAATAAAATAAAATATTGGAGTAAAATCGTGAAGAAAATACACAGAGGAAAAGACTTTTTACCATCATGCTGAGCCAAGAAGGTGTAAGTCCAAAATTTCTACGGAAGTCCTGTTTCCTTGGATTTTTATAGATTTCGATGGAATGAAAATCAGAATTGATAGCAAAAAAGTGCAAAATACAATAAATTTTTTCTCTCCAAATTCAATGAAACAAATATAAACCTTTTTTGCTTAATGTGAGAGTGCTTTTCTATCAATATAAAAAAAAAAAAAAGCATAAAACACTTTTTATTATAAATAAATCCTGTGCATTTACCATTTATTGAGAAAGAGAGATTTCATTGTTAATAAAAACTATTTATTTTAACTAAATGAAAAAACTTTATTAATACGAAATATTAAAAGAACATATATTCCCAATAGTGCAATACTAGGAAGTAAATAATAAATAATTTTACACCTACGAGATCTAATTTTACCAACTCCTTGAGCAAGAAGTTTTATTTATCTCGATATTCTTTACAACAACTCTGAAAGTTCCCCCTCGTCCCTAATGTATTGATTGAGCTAACTTGCTGCTAATAGTTATCATGTTAAGCAAAGATTTATTAAATAAAATGTAAATACAAAGTTTGAATGATCCTTTACAACTAAAAAAAAAAACAAAAGCAAAATATTGATTTACTTTAAAAACGTCAAGTATTTTGAATAAACCCAATAATACAACATGAAAAAAAATAAGTGGATAAAGTGAAAAAGGTACATCAGCAGAATGACACAGCTTATCTTCAATTCTAGGCAGACAGCAACTATCACGTTTCCTCTTCATAACACTTCAACATGGACATTTGTCTTCATTTCTTGCACTAGTCTGAATGAATTGTAGTTATGATTTAATGCCTGAGTTTCTTCAACCAGATCGAGATGAGTGCGACGAGTCTAGGAAGTCGGAAGTACTTGCGTAATCATTTTACCCTTCTCTATAAACCGAGTCTTTTGCAAGTTCTCACGGCGACAGAATTTAATTCATGTGGTTTATCTTGATCCTCGGGTTGGATTTGGAATGCCATAACTACTTTTTATATCATGAAATATATCCTCAAGCGTGAGATTTCTACGATTGATTTATCATATCAGTTGCATCTATTTATTAATATAAATGCACAAGTATGCTAATATGTACATACAAATAGTGATATATATATGTATATTAATATTAGATATTAGATATACATTAGCTTTGTATTTATGATGACAGACATACTCTCCAGAATCAGTATCATTAGCTATTTCATGTGTTACATGACACACCAGTCAACACCAGGCATCCATATTTACTACTGCCAGTAGTTTCTCGTTTACATTGATGCAATATTCATTATTACAATCACATCTATTGTGAATATTCTATTTTATTAACTACTTTGTGTTATTGTTTCCAATTTATTGATGGTAAATATCGAATTTTACGCATAGACAAAAGCAGAAATTGAATATTGTAATAAATATATCACGAAACTAGCTCTGTGATCGTCTGCGAAGAGCTATTATGGGTGGAGATTAAAATATGTTATGGTTCTTTTATATCTGCATCTGCCATAAATTATTTTTAAGTACGTATATATATATATATATATAAACATATATTGTTTTAAATATCGACTGGCAGTTCAATATTATGATTTATATTAAAAAAAGTAGATGACGGATATTAAGTCCTGACAAACATGAGAATTTAAAAATATTGTCGATCATATTAAATGGTAGTTTAGATAAAATACAGCCAATTCAATGGCAGCTTTATGTTCGTATTCTCATGATTTATTCTCCAGCAGAAAATGTTGCATTTAAATGTTTTTTGTATTAAAAAAAAATTGAGAAATGGACCGTGATGTCGTTTGGAAAACTTTTTGAAGACAAAACATAAATAACAAAGAACAAGTGATGAAATATGTAAAAAAGGACAGATGGTGTAGAAGAAAGTTTGCACTTTCTGTTAGATTTAAAAGTTGATCTATTTTTGGACTCTAGTTACAATCAACTTTACCTCTCCAGATAAATTGAATTTTTTTCTATCTCGTAAGAGAGAGTTATATACATTTAATCGAATAGTATTGACGAGATTGATCAAATCTTGAATTTTCAATCGTTGCTCGTTGAAAAAAAAAAATTGATAAGAAAAATTCAACAAAGTAATTTGATTGTGACTAAGGAGTTATTCACGAGAAACACGAATGTGATTATTCTTTTAGTTGAAGCTTGAGGTAATCCCAATATGTTTGTAATCCGCAAGGGCCATTACCAGCCTGACCAATTGAGCCTGCTGTACAATTTATATTGCGTAAAATCGATATAGGTTTGTCTTAGGTATTGTATTATTTTTTTGATTAGTGTAATAATTTACGGCATAAAGCATAGGGATTTTATTGCTAGAGTAAGCCACTTTGGTTAAAACACAGTAAATACGTTGGGATAGGTATCACACGATGGTTTTTACTCGAAGAGAGTGGAAGAATAGAAAGGAGGAGAAAAGCGCACGACTTAGGGTGATAACACTCTGGTGGCGGCCTCGAGAAACTCATTGGGGTTGGTCCGTAAGCTTTCAGTCGCGGACGAACCGTCACGCGGGACCATCCAACGATACGTTATATCGTTTGTGTTTCGGCAGGTCTTATTAAACTTTGCATTTTCTCTAATGAAAAATTCAATCAAGTTTTTTTAAAAATGTGTGAAATATGATTTATTCAACACAATATCACAAATCTGGTAATATAATTTTTTTGACTCAAGTTTCTAGTGAGCTTTTGTTACAATGAGTGTTAAAACTTCTACTGCAGTTGGATTTTTTACAATTATAGAACAAATGAAAAGTACATTAGTGACCTATAGAATAAATTTTCAAACTCAATGCCTGGATTTTCATTGAATATTCACTCATTTTTTCCATGCTGAATAAAAGTTCTTTCATTCAGCATTTTTACTGACTCTAATCGTTAATACTTGCGAAGGTAGAAAAAAAAATTTAGAAAATATTCTTGAAGAAGTTATTCCATTGGCGTTCTCCACGAAAAATTAATCCAACTGAATTATTGTAATATGGTTTTTAATTAAATGGAGAATATTAATATTCTTTTATTACGTTGATCATATTTTCACTGTAAAAAAGTTGATCCTTTTCTTTTGAGTTGTTCTTCTTTGAAACACTGTTCATTAGAACTCTTTTATTATTATGGTCGACAGCTATATAAGAACATTTCATTTTAGTGTTCCCATTTGGATTTACTTGTGGACAACATTAAAAAGGGATTGAATAACAAAAAATAAAAGAATTAAAATGTTATGAATAAGTAAAAGGCAAAAATGGCGGTAAATATTTGCCCAGTAAAAAGTATATTCAAATATTAAAAAAGCTACTCTCCGGTAAAAATAATTCAAACATAAAATTAATAACAAATTTTGTTTTATTTAATTTTCTTAAAAGCTTGATAAATGAAAGAAAAATCTAGATCACGTAAAAGTCAATTATTCGAAATATTTGAATAACATCTCAATACAAAAACATCAAAGTCACGGCTTTGCATCATTATAGAAGATTCACAAATGAAACATTGTGCGAATATTAAATATCTCCTTTTATTTTGCATAAAAAATAAACAACACGATGTCTTCATCAAATGACTTGATGATATATATTTTTCTAGAACAGGAATATCAATGGTGTGTGTTAGTGTTTTCCTTTGAAGTTGACATCAATGAAAAAACCGATAGGTATTTATATCATACAATATTGCGTTCATCGAACACGAACCGTTGAGAAGTGTGTAGATTCGATCTTAATGTATTTTGTTACCATTTTAATAGCTCCACGAGATCATTGAGTCTTCAATAAATTTTTATCACTGTGATTAATGTCATCTTTTCGAAGTAACATAGAATACTTAACTTTCAGTAAAAAGCTATCGCGTGATTTTCCTTCGAGTATATCTGACAATATACAAGCGCTTTCGTGCCTCGATGCCCCTATAACCGTGGTTGGTCGACCGCCAAAAAGAGTGAAGAAGAAACAGGTATCCTGTAGCCAGTAAAAATCGTATTATTACGGTCCAACGATTATCCCTGAATATTTTAACCTCTTCTCTTTTATCTTTTAAAATTATTCTACAGAATGATCACATTTTGATCTTTTTACACTTTTGTTTCGCGTGTACAAGAGCTGAGATCCCATCAATAACCCTATGCATTAAATCTTCTGAGTTTGTATGAGAATACATGAAATCACAATTCATAAACTCTTGGTCATTTTCTCATGTCTTTCAACTTTTATTGTATTATATTTCTATCTGTAATAATGTTTGGCCAATGTTATTGTTAATTTCCATGAATAGCCCTATTAAAATAAATTGCACGTCAAAATGTTTTCGTTGAGAATACAAGTTGTTGGTCGAGGTTTATTATACCAAAGAATATCTCGTGGGTATTGGGTACAATCTTAAAAAGGTCTTTGTTGTTGATTCTGATTGAGTCAAGTATGAGCGAACAACAATACAAGTGAGCTTTATAGAATCGAGTAGTCAAGCAGAAAATCCACATTATTGGGTAAACGTTGCTTCAGCCTAAAAAGCTGATCTTATTACATAAAGTATATTATTAACAACATTTTCTTAATTAATTGGTGGGAATAAAAATACTCTTTATCTTAGCAGAATGTTATTTATATTTCTCTCGCGGATAAAGTTTATTCATCAAGTAAATTCAAGCAATGAGATCAAATTTTCCTCTAGTTTCTACACTTTTCTTTTATTCACAATTGACTATCACAACTTCGCAATTTAATTAGTCGTTAGCGTTCTTGAACGGTAATTAATTTCCGTTTGCTTTTGTCTTTCAGAATATCCAGAGTGCTAATGTCACCTGAAGAAGGTTAGGGAATTTAAATAAAGAAGAAAATTAATTTCATGATAAAACGAAGATGCATTAGACGATCTAGGATTGATTAATGCTTGAAGGGGTAATCTCTAATGAAACGTTGAAACGTCGATGGCCAGTAAAGTCTGTCTATCAATCTGGCTTTGACATTGGAGTTGAACACGAATTTACGATCAGCCAGAACTTTATCCAGTGGACAGACTAATTTACCAAATTACACGATATAAAAAATTATACGTTTAAATGTTAGATTAAATTTGTGGTTTTTCATAATTCTATGATTTTTCATTATAAATGCATTATATGTAAACCAGTGATCAGTCATTACCTTGCTCTTTAATCATAACGTCATTTAGCTCGTGAGTATTTTGCGTGTCACAGTGTTTGTCTTTGTCAAGTGTCAAGTGCTTTATAGACATTAATTGTGAAAGTCATATAACGATTCATCTGAAAACTCTGTTGAGAATTCTGCCACGGAAAACAACATTTTATCTACGAGTGTGACAACTAAAATTTTCATCGGTTAACAAATCACTAAAATATACATCAGATTCCATTGTGTCATTTAATTGCTGTGGTATCATCATTTGTTAGGAGATTGAAAAAAACTGAGAAATGGTGTTTAGTGACTAACGAGTGCTCAATAAGAAGTAGTGATTGTCGCGGTGCGACATAAGTCCAAGAAAAATCACATCATGAAAGAAAATCGTCAAAGATGGCTACGAGCCATTTGGCCACTGATAGCCGTACTTTGTCATCAATCAGGTGAGTTCCTTGTTTCGTTATTCTTTTCTACTTGCTTGTCTTTTCTCATTTATTAATGAGACTAAACATAAAACATTCGAGATAAAAGTTAGGAAGCTGATGAAGCGAATTTCGCCCTTGATCACGATAGAGCTTTTCTGTTATAGAGTATTATTGTAATCAATAACATGATTTTATTTAGTGAAGAAAATGTATTTCTATAGGAAATATATACTGGATGACGTTCGAGACTGCCAATATTTTTAATATTGGAAATTAAATTTTTTATTGCTTTTAAATGGGTTGCGAAGAAATCTTTTTAACTTGGTTACAATTAATGTAATTATTATTTCATTTTGACATATTTATATTTAAATACTCACTGATATAACCTAGCGACATGATATTTGCGGAATAAAATTTTAATTTACGTCGAGTGTCGTTCATTCGAACGAATAGTAACTACAATCGAGAAATGTTTGGAATGTCAGAAGCATTGAATTATAATCGGTATGATTCAAAACCGAGTATTTCACATTTTATCTAATTTGTGTGATTGATTGTTCTTTTATTGCATGTCCATTTTTTTCATACTCTGGTAATATTTTTTTTTTTAAAGACATAAGTTTGCGTGAACAGTCATCTAGTGTGATTTATTCAGATATAGAATCATTTTGTTTCGATCACATGTGAGTTTTATTTGAAAAATTTGACCTTTTTTCTTTTTTTTTTCATTAGCATTTGGAGTCTTAGTAATACATTAGAATTTAATGAAATTTTTACATTAATTCAAATAGATGAATAATGATAATTAAATTTTAACTTCACTTAGTACTGATTGAAAAGTGATTTTGCAATATAAATTTAAATCTGACTGTTTAAATAATTAAATTTTTTTCACAATTTCAATAAATGATATTAAGTTCATACACATTAATGGTAAACTTGATAAAATATCAATACGGATATTTTTGCTAAATCTGAAAGCATTGTCTGATTGAATATTGAGGTAAAACATTGCAATTTTTTTCTTCAAAAACTTTTAAATAAAAAAAAATTTTTTAATTTTAAATCCTTTAACTCTTGAAGGATACACATGTCAGTTCTGTTACTCTTCAAGTCTACTATTATTCTGGAACGAAAAATTTCATCGACCATTGCAATGCTTTTATGTTTTATACATTTTTTTTCCTAGTTCAGCATCAGTGCTTTCTAGAACACGGTTCAAATCTTCTATTGAAATTTTCATCGTAACATTAAATATTTAAATAATTCTTTATAAAGTTATTTCTACATTTTAAAAAATTCACTATTAAAGTCAGAAAAGAATTTTTCTTTTTCTATCACTCCTTGATTTTTGATCTTTTATTCCAGGACAAAATTTTTAATTTCAGTTTCAATAGCATACTGAGTAAAAGTCTTGTTATGATTCTACGACCAGTACATTCAAGTCCATAATGACATTTTCCAAACCATCATCTTGCTAATAAAAATATTCCAATTTTTTCCTTCAGTAAATATTTCCAAGTATACACCCTTCCGAATATTACATCCCCTATGTTTATAAGTACTTTCGTTAAGGTCGGGATAAGAATAGTATATAATGACGGTATACACTTACAAAATTGTAAATATTTCGAAGGGGCTCACGTAGTAGTAATTTAAATGTTTATCTACTGTCGAAGCATTTTGCAAACAAAAGTATTTTTCTTTTCCCATTTACCTCCATTTATTCTGACAGTATAATTTAGTTTTCCAAAGACTTTCTTTAGTGAGTAAGAGAGAGATAGAATGTCTCAACGATACGAAATATCAAGAAGAAAATAAGTTTCTTGGATAATCAAGGAGCACAGAAGATGAAATCGTACTTCTACAATAATCTCGCGTCAGTCCTGTAAAACTTTGCAGCTAATATTAATAAAGTGAAACTATAAGTATAGGACAAGCCATCGTCTGTCTTTTAGAATGAATCGTAACTTATTTAATTTCACTGCTATAACTGTCACCCCTTAGAGTTTTAAGTTACGAAATAAAACTAAAAGAGCTGGAGAAAGTTTGAAATTTTTCACTGAAAGCAGCTTATCGTATTTGTCACGAGGTGATTTTAAGCATACATTATAGATTGGTCACTGAATTTTTTACATCAACTTGCGCTGAAGTTCATCTATGATATACTTCAGCACACATAAATTAAGCAGGATCCATTAGTCTCAGGGAAGTTTTTATATTCGTTGTAAATAATAGATAAAATCAAGGATTTTTGATGTATTACTTTTTAAAATTTATACAAAAGTTCAAAAAAAATTAAAAGTGCTGTTGACAAGTAGAAACATACAAACCACGATATAAATTATATGATATTCATAAAAGAATAAAAGAATTTTGAAATTATTATTTGATAGATATAGGGTAATGTGAATTCTCAGCTGAATGATTACATTGTTTTCATTGTCATTTGAAAACTCTAGATAAATTTCCATTCTCCGCTAAGCTCTTTCGATTATTTATTATTGTGCAGATATTCTACTTATAACACAAATCATCAGTAGACCGATTATTGTAATCTAAAATCACCAATTCGAATGTGTAATTCGTTTCCGCAACAAGATGCGATAGTTATCAGAGATCATAATGCAACTAGTGGAAATACGGCTCTCTCGTTCCTTTGTCTATAGCTTATTACACAGACTACGATCATGAATTGAAGTTTTTAGCATTCAGCTTTGGATAGCAATAAACTGAGAGACTTTATATTATTCTGAAGGCTTTTTATCCGAAACAAATTGAGTTCAATGATTTGTTTCTTGCAATGTCAGTAAATAAATTCATTATTGATTTTCTATCAAATTCTTAGACAGCTTTTTTTTGGATATCAATTTCACAAAATGATCTATTGAATATTTTCAAATACAATAGACTTAACAACTTGATTAAAAAAAAATTTTATTGAGAATATTACGAAGGTTGTGATTGCATTCATGAAACGAATCGTTGAAGGACAAAACGTAATTACCATTATCAGTAAAAATCACGAGTTGAAAAGATGCTACTCAATCAAGCACTTATAGATGTTCACTTTTCTTTGAAATTTTTGAAAGATTTTTATCTGACGCGAAATGCTTAAAGATTTCAATAGATGTCAGTTTTTATAACGGAAACTTCATGTAATAGTAGTAAATCGACATGACTATTCTGGAATGGTTAAGATAAAATACTTTTTAGAAGTATGTATCTGTCCATTAACGTTTGAATTAATCCACGTCGATGCACTCTTTATTCAAATCCAATAGAATAAAATATCTCTTTAGAACAGATAATAGAAGTCAATCTCTTACTGAGTAACATTTAAAAAGTCGATATTACTTATCCTCAAAACTTTATAGTTAAATGTTAAATATTTTTTATTAAGAAGTTGGATATCCAGTATCATGATTTCATTCTTTCCATTTTGTCTGAATAAGAAAATTTTTTAATTGAAATTCAATATAAAAATACAATCACTTTGTTAATAGTTATTTTAACAATTGGTCCTTGACTTCATCTTTACTTACTACAAATTGTTTTATAAATAATTTTTTGAAGCTTGAATAATTCAATATTACTCGGAAATCTCAGTACCAATATCGAATTATTAAAATTTAAAAAACTTTTTGGTCCGTTTTACTCGACAATTATTTATAACTAGATTATTTATTACTCAAGTAAATGGCAAATAAATTGTTGATCACAGTTTATTCTAGGGAATAATATAAAATGTTAAAATCAATAACCGTTTGATTGATATATATTTGAATAATCTATTTGAAATGCATCAAAGTATTTCAAATAAATAATTTTATTTGTTGAATCATTGCCAATGTAATTATTTACATCGAAGGTTCTATATATCAACAAAAAGCATGTAATTGACGGAAAAATTGAATTTTATAATCATCAATAAAACAATTACATAATTTAATTTACCAATTACATCATTATTTTATGTATTACTCCGCTAAATATAATTTTCTGAATCAATGTCTGCTTGATCGTCTTTGAATACCAAAAATAGATTCATCCAATCTAGATAAAATGTTTATTAATCTCAATACATAAAACATTTGTCGTTGTGATTTTATTATAGATAAAGCCAATTAAATTAATACATAAATAGAAATTATTATATTTTTTTCTTTAGTCTTCAATAAAAAGCTAGATAATGTTATCTACTCACAAGAGTATCAGAGTTTCGCGAATGAGTAAGTAGTGCTACTTGTTTGCCACTCGAGTGGATTCAAATGCTTATTGCAGGTCTGCTGAAAGTAGTGAAAATTGATGTAAAGAATACATTAAATCTACAGTGATGTATGTTACTTTCCTATGCTTTTTTAAATTTTCATTTTCCAACATTTCCAACATTTATTATCCCGTAAATAAATCCTTCTGTTATTCTTAACAGTATTTAATGCATTTTTATTTCGACTAAAAGAGATAATAACGCATTTCTTTTCCTCATAACTCATCATCCATTCTGTTTGTTTATCTATTTCTCATAAAATTTTATTTCCTCTTTCAGTAGCAGTGAAATATATTACATCGTTGCAATTACAAAAGCATCATTTTTTTAATGAACAACAACAAAAATTACTCACTATCATAACTGGTTACATGGTCGATTCAGGAATAATACAAAAGAAGACAAATAATAATGAAAATTTTAAATATCATAGCCACTACATCTGCTTGAAAATTGGACGAGATTGTTAATAGTTAACTAATTCCCTTTATCGTCGTGGATAGTACTAGGTTTTTCATTAAAATTCAAATTAGTTCGTTGAATGGATATAAATAGAAATGGTTAGAGATTTGTGCTGCGTAATGCACGTAATGCATTATTATAATAATTTATTAAAAATTTCGATGAAAAGTTTTTAGCCGTATACTCGATAATCTTCCTCGAATTGAGCTTATAGTATCTGTATTATATAGAGTGTACATTAGATTTAGAATGTAGGTGAAATAGAGAATTCAAAATGCCTATG